ATTCAATGGTCATTCGACTTTCGATGCTCGATCTTAGTGGCAAGTTGAAGAAAACAACTCGAAGAGGCATTTCACTCTTGGATTGAGTTATGCTTACTCGACCAGAGTGGGAGAGACTAGATGATATAGGATATTATACTGGACCCGGTTTAATGGATAAAGCGGATACATATTGAAAGATAAGCCCACTAAGACATCTAAGCCCAACTTGGGCCCAAAAGGTACACTCCCCCTATAAAAGGGGGCCAAGGTACCTCATTCTCTCACACTCTCTATTCATTCCATACTACACACTTTCCCTCTCTTGATCTGAGCACTGACTTAGGCATCGGAGGCCCGACGCCGGGGCCACCCCCGGCGTTGGGTTCTGCAGGTACGGAGGCCAGTTTGAGTTGGATGAGCCTGGGTGAAATCTATTCACTTCAAAGATGGAATTGTTTTTGGCAATCTACTAGCACCAGGTAATATATTATAATACACATTATATATAATATATACATTATACATTAAAATATATAAATATTATATATTATAACATATTATATATATATTTTTTTTAATTGGGCGGGTGCCCCGCCTCAGCCCGCTGCCCGCACGGGCTGGCTCGTTGTAATGGGCCTAGAAGAACCAGGCCCAACCCACTCCTTTTGCGGGGTGCGGCCCGCGGGCCTTTTTGACGGCTCTAGTCTGAGGTAGGTTGGTTGAAAGCATTTAATGTGGAATAGATCGATCGAGACAGAAGGACGTATAATTTCTCGAACAAAAATCTTAGCTGCTCGGTCTATTAAAGAGGGGCTAGATGATATAGCACCCATAATAGCTCAACATACTGATTAGAGCGGTAAGCTAGGGTTAAACATTCTGGAATAGCTTCTAACTCGACAACATGGTTTGACCCCGTGAAGGAGCTCAGTATAACAACTTGAGGTACAGGTTGACTCTGGATACGACCTAGAGAACTTGGCTCAGCCAAGAACCAGAATAGAGAAGAGGTAGTCACGACATGAAGGTCGTGTAACAGAGGTCATTTATCGACCTAACAGGATTAGAACAGTATATTCGTGGGGTCGTTGTGTTGACCTAAAAACCTGCTGAGACACAGATTCTCGACAGGATGGTAAGTATATCTCACTAAGGAATAGAAGATCTCAAATTCGTGTCATATTAGAAAACATGATATGACGAGATCTGTTTTCCTAGTGATAGGTTACATGGGTAAGCAGACAATCTCCTTTATAAAAGAAGGTTGTCAGGTTCTTTACTATTTAACGTGCAATATACTACATTGTCTACAACTCATGAGCGAGATCTAACATGAGTGTCAGATGTTTTCCACCGAGACCCTCCTAGTGTTTAGCAGGTCCTGGACCATAAGTTGAACCGCCCCTAGAGTGTTTAGCAGGTCCTGGACCATAAGCTGAAGGACGGTTCTTGATGTTACTTGTCTAAGCCCGATCTAGAGACAATTTGCACATCAGTATCAATATGCAATCTATTAAAATATTTCTCTCTTTCTTATTCTCCAGTTTGACTCATTACACCAAAAAATCAAACATAATTACACCAAATAACAAACATATTTCAAACAACTAGCACTAGATATTATCAGAAATAGTGAAGATCTGTTTCGCATATGGTGGACAGGTGGTCTGTAGTTTGAGGTGGCATATATGGAATTTAAGGGTGTAAAGCGATGTGTTGTTGAATGGATGAGTCTGAATTGTATTTTGTTGTTGTTTTTTTTTTT